AGAGTTGGGTGTACGGTCTGTTGCTTCCCACGCTCTTGTTCTTTATTGCCCGTTGTTGCACCGATCCGCGATGGCGGAAGGAGGCCGGAGTCGTTTCGACGAAGAAAAACCGGCGTTGGTGATCCGATCGATTGTTGGAAACACAATAGGCAACAATAAACGGGTCGGTCGGAATTATTTAACGGTATCGATCGGTTGTACCCGCGTTTCGGTATAATTGCCCCGATGTTATTGTAGTCGTAGACACCGCAACGCAAACAACTCATCCTCATAATTCTTGAATTTCAAATCTTTTATTTCAAACTGGCTATCTATTCGTCCCGATGTCTTGTTTAATTATTATTCGAAATAGTTTTGCGAGAATTGTACTAGATTATCAATGGAATTAAAATATCAAATTTAAATTTGAAAATTCAAGGTTTTAATTTGAAAATTCCAATTCTGACGTGCGTCTTATTTTGCAAAAATATTGAACAAAAGAAGTATTCAACAAACAACCCAATCTATTTTTGTTATATTCTCCCTGATAAACGTGTTTCGTTTACGTAACGAAACACGTGATTGCAGAGGCAAATTTTCCATCTAACCATTAATGTAACATTATATTTATATCCTGCGGTATAATGTATAATAACCGATAATACATGTTCAATTTTCTCCGTTCAAAAAAAAAAAAAAAAAATAAAAAAATAAAGAAAATAAGAATGTCAATAACATATTTGTTTAAATATAAACTGGAACAAGATTGATTTTGTAGAACCGTAGGTCGTATAAAATAGATACGTGACGCAAATGAGAGACATGAAGGGTTCGCAATGGGTCACGGGCTCACGTGGGGTGTGAATGGCGAATTATTAATAATAAAAATTGATTGCTTCGAACGATGCCTCGTTCCAGCCAATCTTCAAGGCTTACAGCGATCGAATCGTTGCAATTTTAGCTATCTCCTTTGTTTCTACAAATTTTTATATTTTCCAAAAGTTAGCCGGAAAAATTTACCATTAGACAAGGAAAAATTGAACTAGAACAAAGTATACATCATTGTTTTTTTAAATTTATTTAGTTTTAAAGAATCTTTTTTACGGATCCTTAGAATTGACTAGAATTTAATCCTGATTTTTATCATTTATAAAATAAACTTTTTGATCTTTTCTTCGAGCGTATTAATTTGAAAACTATGTCAATGGAGTATTAACGAGGAGTTTATGAGAAAAGCGGATTATCATTTGTGAGAGAGAATTACTAAAATGATATTTTATAACTTATATTTATCATAAATCCCATTTGTATAATTGTCAAGTAGCAATTTAGGAGACTAATGATTAAAAAAGTTAGATAAAAGATGTAATTAGTAAACCTATGGATTTCAATTTAATATCTGAATAATGAAATTTCTATTATTACTATATTTTTAATAAGGACTGAAATTAACGATTTGAAATATCACTTCAAACGACTATTTTTCTTATTTTATATGAAATAAAAGTTGCCCAGGTCTGCCGAGTGGAAATTTCTATAGCAAACTCGAAATTCGCCTGTAGGGGGTATATATATATAGGGGAGGCGTATATTCAAATTATGTGGTGACCCTTCTCGAAAACTTGACGAAGGGGAAAGGGGGAATTACCGCGTGTAAGCCAGCGAGCTTGCTTCTCTAAAATCAATAGGGCTGCTTCGACCCTGTATACTCTGTGTTTAGTTCGCGGAACTCGCATCGAAAACTCGCGCTGTTCAGAAAATTTTGCCGCAGAGCAATATTCTACAAAATAATATTTTAACAATTATAAAATAATAATTCTATAAATAGAAAATTATATATTAATTCTTAAAGAACAGCGCGGGAAACAAAATTATATTAAAATTGGAGCTCTCTCCATGGTCCGTCGTTCGAGAATAAAAATTTAACTCGTTATATTTTTTTCAAAGATAGAACACTTATAAAAAATGGGTATAAACACTAGAATATAACACGTGAAGTTCCTCCTCGATATTTATATAGCAATCGTCATCTCCAACAATGTCGGTAATAACTTAATCACCACTTACGAAACCTGATGTCTGAACATAGAATATTTTACGTAAGGATAATTCTAATTCCTGACAAATTACCAACTAAACGTACCGTAATGAACGTGTTTCGTGTTGTATAACCCGTTACATACATCACTTGAGTTATTTATTATTAGATCGAGTTAAAACTGCAACTGGTCGTAACGATTTATAATAAATTGTTTTCCGATGTTTAATACACGGAAAGTGTTATACGTATATCAAGTTGAGTAAAAAATGTTAAGTAAACATATAGTGAGAAATGAATTGTTTTATCGTAAATAATATCTTATTTCATTTGATGAAAACAAAGTTTATCTTATCGTCTCACAACGCCGTATTTATTTTCATGTTTACAAATTTTATTTCTATTGTGTACTAAGACTCCATTATGATATAACTTGGTCAATTTTATTATACCAAAAGAAGGAAGGGAACATTATCGAATTTTGACTACCGAAACATTTTTTAACACTTGTTAAAATAAGTAAATTCTTTTAACTCTCGGAGGATAGACACCATGGAAAGAGGTACAATTTTAATTTAATTTTATATATTTCACGTTATACCGGTTACGCGATAATTTCAGGCACTGCAGCGCGCGTGTTAAATGGAATATAAAGCACAGAAATAAATAAATAATTAATGAAACATAATCTGATACATACGAGTATTCCTTATCTCGAGAAGAATCAACATACATTTCTACAAAAGCACCTCGATAACTGTTGGAATTAAAAAGAAACAATGTATGATCCATCATTTTGACGGGTTCGTTTGTTCGAACGTTAAAAATATAATTTATCTGTTTTCTCCTGGTTTTCCATGTGACGACAACCATTACAACGATCAAAGGAATATCTTCACGGTAAACTGCACTTTAGAACAGCCCGGGCAGTAAATAAAACTTGTTACAATCATCATTAAATGTATTGTAAATTTATATCGTTTCCACTTGATGCTTTTTAACGAACAGAAGCTATATTTTATGGTTTTAATCAGATGTACCGAGGAAATTAATGCGCATTCATTAATTAAACGTTGTACCGTGTAAAATAAATTTGAAAGAAAGGGAGTCATTACACGTGGTACGTTCGCCATCGGATCAGGCTTTTCTCCAGGAAGAATGATTATGGACTTCTCTCTATAGGGTTGATCAGTTTTTCGTGTTCCGGGGTTCCTGGGCCTTGTATCCCTCCCAATAGGTCCCCTATTGTAGGGAAAAACGCCCCATATATTGTGCACCGATCACAAAAAGTCTCGCGGGACGACACAGGGGCAAGAGGAGTTACTACGCACACGAGTCTAAATAGTAGATGTGACCGCTTCGACCAATCACGCGTCACAGTCGAAAGTACGCATGCGCAGAGGTGCGACCAATCAGATTGCGTTATTCTCACGAGACTTCTTGTGATCGGTGAACAGTAGATCTATGGCCCTCCATCCCACGCGATAGACGAACGTACATAGATACCAAGGCGAAAGGAGGCACGAAGGCTTGGCGATTTACTAACATCAGGGCCATCTAACTGTTTTCTAGATCCATCCTACTTTTCTTTTAACATTCACGAGGTGCTCAACTTGAATCACGAACTTGTAAGTTGTTTCGTTCGAAAATAAAAATTCGATGAGTGTTCTTAAAAAAAAAAGTGTCCTTAAAATTAGAAATCGGGTCCAAAGAGCCAGAGTTATTAACATATGTTTACTTTTTATTTAATTTTTATACTTTCTGGCTATTGGTTTACTTAAATTTGGAAAAGAAAAGTTGGATCACTGCTGATTTTGTCATATTACTCGACTCACGTGGCGGACCATGGAGAGCGACCCACATACTATTTTTATTTTTTAGATTTTATACTGTTCCTCTGAAAATTATTTTTACAATATATGAAACTCTTTCATTTAAAGATTATACATTTAACTTTGTGTCAAAATCCTTGTGTATGTTTTGTAAGTTTGGATATCTATTACCTATATCTGTACAATTATTACAGTATATCAGTTACATATATAAATGTGTATAGTTGCTAAAAATAGTACCGAAATAAAAATGAAACATAAATTAAGCTAGAAACAGATTATCAATGAACAAAAACTCGTTATAAAAATGACAACGATTAACACATTTATATCAAACTATGTTTTATTTATCATATCACTTCTTGACAGTGATGACATAAGTCAAGAAATTTCAATCTTATTTCTTTCATACAAATAGACTTCATGATAAGGTATCTGTGATTCTTAATCTGCACAGAATGAAAACGTGTGATAATCAGATAAATAAATCCCCTAGCCTTGACGTCTAAATTTAATTTGAAAATATATATAATATAAGAAGGCCCCCAAGGTAGGGCCCAAAAAGCTCTTTTTTTGTGGAATAACATTCTAGCAAACATGGTAGCAAAGTTTGTCGGTTTGCGCGTGGAACACCCTGTATATATGCGTATCAGACACTCGGTCGAAAAAAGTCAGCATCAGGGCCGGTTAACTGTTAGGTGGAACCTTCCTCTACTCGAAGGAAACTCATCGTGTTCTACTTTTTTTCTTTCCCTCCTTTGCTGACCCTTCAGCTGGATCACAAGCGGTGCTCAGTCTCGGTCACCGAGACTCCACCATGATACAGCTTGGTCAACTTTATTACATCTTAAAAAAGAAAGGGAACATTATTGAATTTCGACTACCGAAACATTTCTTAACCTTCGAATAGTAGTGGCCAGGTCAATAATGACCCCGATCTATGAGACTGAAAATTAGGAATTAAAATTTTCAAACGAAAGAGGGGATATAACATTTATGAAATTAAAACAAAACATTTAATGAAAATAATATATTACATTACAGATCATTTTATAAAATGAGTAATAATATCTGACCAACATTTATGTTCAAGTTAAACTGACATTATATGTCAAGATAATTTTTCAAAAATAATTTTCATTTTTTTTTTTTCAATTACATGAACAAATATGAGATTCATAACTGAACAATTTCTATTGTAGGTAATGACATTTTTTCTAATTCGTTAACTACATGGAATACTCTGTATTTTGCTTCGGCGATTAAGTCTGGTGAAAATGTTTTAACCGTCATGGCCATGCTTTTGAAAAACGATAAAACTGGGTCGCAATCTTCGATCATCTGTTCATCAGTATCTCCTAGTGGGTCCTTTGCTTCAGGAACACATTCCTCTAATTCCAAGAATTCGTTTGTATCATCTTTCTGCCTTTTCCTTAGGATATTTATTGTATGTAGTTTTCTTTTTCTCGAAGAAAAACTATTATTTTGTAAATCTGATTCTGTTGATGTACTTTCTGTGTCAGTACTGCTGATATACAAAAATTCTGGCGAATAACCCGTTCTGTGGGTATTGACAACAAAATTTTTTTCTATAATTTTTCTGTTATTGTACTCTTACAATAATGTACACTCCTAATCAACCGAGGCTTCCCTAGGGAAAATGGTGACACGCGGAGTTTTCACGCACAGGCGTATGTGGCCCGATCACTTGCGTGTAAACGTTTACGTGGTAAAGTTTGAATTTATATTATTATCTAAATTACATTTAACATTAATATCGTCAAAATTAGAATTCTGACCATTTCTGCTTCCCCTATATCGCCATTATTCCTAGGAAAGTCTAGGATAGAATCCTAGAGAGTATAGGATCTATATTTAGAATTTTTACTACGCGTAAAAAATACTTGCCTGCTTTTTATATATGCTTCATTGAAAAAATCTAAGTACTGCTGTATTGAAAAGTTTAATTGCGATCTGGATTCAACATCTAGATTGTGTTTACCTTGTTTGCTTTTTACAAATGTGTCTCTCAAACTTCGCCATCTTTTTCTACAGTCCGTAGCTGAAATAAATAGATAATATATTGTTTTACAGATGTTGTAGCATAAACTTTTACTTCCAAATTTTTAGACTTTTCTGAAATTATTCATTAGAGACATTTAATTTAGAAGTTAGTTCGACGCCATTTTATGTATAATTTGATTGGTTTGCAAAAACAAGCATCAAACTAGATATACGTAGTGTGGGATTTTTGGCGCATGCGTACTAGGAGCGTCTAATGACACGAGAGAATAACGCAATCTGATTGGACGCGCCCCACCTTCGCTCACACGTACTTTCGGTCGTGACGTGTGTGTAGTATCCCCTCTTGTCCCTGTGCCGTCCCGCGAGACTTCTTGTCATCGGTGTACAGTATTGTGCAGAGATGAGGAAATGACGAGCGGAAGGAATGTGGGTACGATTGGTCATAGTCGGTAAGACGATACTGTCACATACTGACAGTACACGGCCACGGACGCATATTTTGGTGAGGGGGCAACTTTTCTACAAATTCCCCAAAATTTCAAATACCTATTAAAGAATGTTTACCTGATCTGTTCACTCTGCTTGATATTTCCTTCCAAACAATTTTTCTGGTTTCGTAACAACTAAATTTTATGTCACTTCTATCATAAAGGACAGGGTAATTTTTTATATTTTCGATCAGTATAATATCCTCTCTGTAAGAAAAGTTAAATTTTCTTCCCATTTTTTATTACACTTTGTAAAATTGTTCAGAGTACACTTGCTTTTGATTCGCGATTGCTACTAAAGCTGGCGATAACCAAACGCGTACGTATAACCTAACCTAACGCCACGCAACGCCATTCCACGCAACGCGACGCCACGCTACTTCACGCTACGCATGAAATTGTGCTTTCTCTTATGTTGGTATAACTGTGTAACGTATGTGTCGAACGCATGCGTCGTAAGAACCCATGGACGGACTGAAAGCCCCACTTTGATGGCGTCAAAGAGAGAGGCAAAGCGGCCATATTACTAAGGTAAAAGGGTACACATAGCTGGATAATTATTTTTATGTACACTTCATGACGAAATATTTTCAAAAACATTTTTAAAATGAGGATCGTTTCTTGTTGTGTAATTAATAACTAAAAAAAAGAAAGTTTGGACTTTATGGGGCGCGAACCTACGTCAGGTAGAAACAGTGCATTGAAAGGTTTAAATTGTTTATTATTTGAATTGACTGAAGGCACGACAATATTTCATTCCGAAAGTGAATAATATTTGTGTAAAATAGTTCTCGTATTTTTGCAACAAATTGTAATTGAAATGTTATTTGTCATCATTTTTTTTATCATTGAACAGATTGTACCTGCTATGCAGCAAACTGGCACGTCCGTGCGTGTTTCTTATAACATTCATCCTTGTTACTTCATACTTTGCTTTTTTACCGAAGATGTTTTTTTTTTTTTCATTTTCAAAGTTGCTCAATATATTACCGACGTAAAACAGTTAACTGTTTTACGTGACAACTGATGTGCCTTCCAAGAATCCGTGCAAAAGATGCCAAACTTTTCTCTGAAAAAATAAATATAGAGAGAAAAACATAATATATCAACGCAATCGAGATTTCTTTATTTTTCAGATTTTTAGAATGCAACTGCTTTTATTATTGGACTTAATGCTAACTGTATTTTTGTTTCATGAAAGTTATCTGTGTATTCGTGTCTTTTTTCCCCCACCTTTGATCTTTTATACATACGATACTGAAAGAAAAAATATCAGTTTAATAAAAAGGAGAATTTCCTTTTTGGCTGTTCATAAAATATACGTTATAGACATTTATTAACTCTCTGACGACGGATCATGCAAAGAGCCCCAAATATTCAATTGTATTTCATATAATTATATTGATGAGAATGAAGGAATTTTCAGTTTCAAAATTTCAATGATACGCGGGAACACGCGTTTGCGCGAGTGATGCGCAGTATGGGATTTATAGCGCATGCGCACTAAGAAAGTATTAGGAGCGTTTCAGTGACGCACCTATGTTTTTTAAACGTGAAGGTATCATTGGTCCCCAGAAATGTTAAGGAGAAGAGAAAGTTTTAATTTAAGTAACACTTCATAATTTACGATAGCGTTGCTGTGATTGCGTGTCGAGGTGATTTGTAAATGAAGCACGATATAACGGAAGTAACTATTCGCTCAAGCGTATCCTGAACTGTGTTGAAACAAGTTAGCTGATTATAAGGATGGTTACAAAATAAACCAGTTCTTCGAATAAAGATTATTTTAACTTTAATCAACTTACGTAGCATAATATCGTTAGTATTTAGAATTTTGATATTAAATATGGATAGAAAAAATTTGTATCACACCCTGGAAATACTCTGATCATAGTTATGTAATACAAAAGAAACGACGAAGAAGTTGTAAATGATTAAAAATTGTCGTGATCGATGCATGATCACAGTCCAATTAGAATAATTAGAATTTATATCATAAATCAAAAAACACAACTAAAATTTATAAACTGCAAATGATGTGAAATACAAAATTAAATTAAAATTAGGGCTCTCTTCATGGTCCGTCGTGATCACGCAAAAGAAACAAGCACTTTTATTAACGAACGATGAATACGAAAGGCGAAGCATGGTTTATAAGCGAAAATAAATGTAGCATATGTAAGATCGTGTCCAATTTCCTGTTGCAGGTAATATCAAAGTCCACGCGTCACTTCCGTCAAGCCCAGAAGTTGCCGAGGTAAAACGGCAGTTTATAAAAACCGGTAAGTGCATCGCTTAAGTTCATGAAGAATGCAAAACTGCTGGCGTTGCATGAATTCTCTGTATGTATGCGAAAGTTTAGCGGAGGCCTGTGCATGTACGCAGGGAACGAAGCCAGCCAGAATAATCTGAGTTTATCGATCGACTCTTAGTTGCCAACTTGGCAACGGCAAACTCCCGGAATTACGAATGAAATATTCTACATAGCAAAACGGCTAGCAAATCAGTTGTGCTTTCCTACCTTTACCAATCAGGATATAAAGAATTCCATTTATAACCGTTTTCCGTTTCAACTATCGCTTTGCTAATGTCTATCTCAAATTTATTTCATGAAAAACGGAAAGCGTTAGAAATGAATTAGGCTCGGTCATTTTAGGATTAAGAAAATATTCTTCTATAAATTATTGTCTCTTGTACGACTTTATAGAGGTGGGTCACGATTGACCTGGCCACCGCTGTTCAAGGGTTAAGTCCGCAAGTATTATAAGAATGTTGGGTCACTTTTGTCAAGGTTTATGAGAGGAATTCTTAATACTATCGCGGTCATTTATGATTCTTTTTCTGTTCACCGCTGTCGAGAGTGTCAAAATTGACGGTGAAACAAGCAATATTTTCTTAATGTTTAATTTGCATACATCTCCATGTTATGAAAATTGTTGGAAATAATTTAATATTCCAGTATAATAATCTCTGGTTCATACTGCGGTACTAATGAAAACATATTTTCATGATAAAAAAATTTCAGACTAATCATACAAATTTCTCAATTTAAATATCATTGAAAATTGGTGGGGAAACCTTGTTAGAACAGTACCTATGTACCTATATTGAAAATTTAAAGCCCCTAAATCATACATAAGGTTAACAGTGATTCAACTTCGTTATCTGAGAGCTTACGACAGTGATATGAAATAAATATTGAAATTGTGTAATTACTAAATATAAAGATATTAATGTAACGTAGCATGATTTTGTGTCTGGCTGAACGAAGAGAAACGAATTTGAGAATCACTGATCCCAATAGCAGAAGTGCATCAATAGGGGCCATGAAAAGCAAAGGGGGTTCTGGGAAGGGTCAAAAGGGTTGCACACCAGGCAGGCAAGATTTTTTTTTCCGATAGGGGCCGTAAGATGGTCAAAATCGTAGTGGCTGTTATTACGGAAAGTAAGCTGAGTTGTCGTTTGGGTACATTTTATAACCCTCCAAATCAAAATAAGTATTTGTTACATGGTATGATTTGGTAATTTTTAATTAAAATTTAAAGTGAAAATGAAAATAAATTTAAATATTTCAAGTATTGTATTTCTAAATTAAAAGAGCTAAATATATAAAATTCTATTTTTATTGAATTAAAATTAGAAATGAAATGTTGATCAATTTTATTGATTTTAATATTCGATCAGTCCTCTTGGCTTACGGTATCTGAACTCACCAGGGAAACTTCGAAAGGGGGGGGGGGGTCAGATGTTGATTTGGGGATCATGAATCACTTTTCGGCTATCAGGTATGTATTCTTTTATCAAGTTGAGCCAATCCAGCGACAGCGGAATGAAATAAGCTGGGGGGAAATTATGAGAAAATCGATACGTGAAACTGCATTTTCCATTCAACAAACAGGGAAACGTGAAACGAATAAACGGTGCAAATTTTCCGTCAACGAAAAGTGGAGACAAATAATTGTATAATTTTTAAAATTATTATTATTAGAAATAATTTTAGAATCTTAAAACTTTAAAATTCTACAATTTATATCGATCATAGCTTCACAGCGTTGCTTTAATTCTACAAAAGAAAATGACTATGAAACAGATAAAAGAGCCTAATTAAAACGTATATAAACAATGTTTGTTAATTTAATGTAAATAGTAAGCAGCGGAAGTGAGTTTCAGGATTTGCATGGAGTATTATCGGTGGTTAGTGCATACAATTTTGTATGAAATAGGTGAATAGAAGAAGAGAAAAAAAAGAACCAAGGAAAAAAGATAGAGAATAGATGAATTGCAATTGAATGCACTACTCTGAAATACAATAGGACATTGCTTAGTAAACAGTGATACTCATCTATTCAACGGAAGGAGAATAATTGAAACGATAAAAATCAGGTTTTTTTACCTTTTTTTGTAGTGAAAGTTTCGCTTTGCATTTGCAACGCGTCAACAATTACCATATCGATGATTACGAGCTAATTGTGAAAATTTTAATTCAATTCTAGTAAAAACTTTCATTGAATTGTATTTTTCACCGTTCAAACTTCGTTACTTATCTTATTTTTCAATATAAACAGAATAAAGATATGGTTTCCGGGGATCGGCTTATGATAAGAGTCTGATTTCGAATCGGTTAAAAAATTGTTATTTGAAACGAAAATCAGTATTTGGTAATAACGACCAATAATTTTTCACGTTATTGGGTTTGGAAATCAAAATCTTATACCATTAATTGTGTTTTGTAACAAATTAAGGATAGATATTAATCAAGGAATTATTAACCTGTACGATAGTACTCTATTCTAAAATTAATGTCTGTTAAAAAATTTTATTCGAATAATTATATACTAAAAAAGAAAAAAAATTCGAGCTAAAATTATCATTCGTTCAAAACATGTTAATTTTTGTTATTTTAGAGATATTTTCTCAATTGGCATATTTTATACTGGTATACGTATACGTGTACGCAAGCACGTGTTATCTATAATTTGCATTTCAGAGAAATATTTTTTTGTTGATTCTTTTCGTGACGCCAGTATAAATTGGTTGAGAACCTTTATTCGTGCAGACGATTCGTATTCGGGACGCAGCTGCAAACGTTTGCGCAGCCGAAAACGCGCAGATTGTGATCATGTGACTGATGGTCATGGTAGGAATCGGAGTCAGCCAATGAAATCGCGCGTACTATCCCCGCTCGAGGCTGCGTGAACAAAGAGACAAAGCTACTTCGTTTGCGTCGACGCTCGCTGCTACTAGAAAGTCGTTGGCAATCGGTGGGTGCGGTCGTCCGGCGAGTCGGAAAGACGCTCGTGGGTTTAGGTTTCGCGAGAAAGTTGTATTGTGGTTATAAAGGTGTACGGAGTGAAACGGCGTGGGAGAGTCATCGATTTTCGTAATTCATGATCTCGGCGATTTTCACTAAAATTTGGGAGAAACGATTCGGAACGAGCTAACGGCAGAAAGAAAAAAATTAATTAGATACCATCCCGATATTCCTGACTCATAACGGATTATATCCAGCCGTTACTTTAGTGAAAGATTCTGACAAATTTGCAAAATTTTCTTTCGTAAAAGACCGTTTGCGGTACAACAAAACGTTATTCAATATATCAGCAGAAGAATAATCAGAGCAAGGGCCGAATTTTTCGTCGCGCTGGATCATCGACGAGGAAATATTCACCGTGATCATACGACGTGGCGTCGCCGCCATTTTGTGAAGACTCCAGTGCGCGTCCCACGAACAACAACGGCCTCATTCGTGCTGTGACCTTTTCGAATCACGGAAGAAACGGAGGAGGAAGCGGATCGGTGTAACATCGATCAAAATAATTGTATTATATATCATTCGTCCTGGGTCACATCGCATAGCAACCATGAGACTGGAAATCGTGTCAGCGGCGGATTTTTTGGTGCATCTACTGCGTCTGCAGACAGGCCAGCTATCTGAACGACAGCTGGAGATGTTCAAATCATCATTGACGGAGGTTCTACGACACCGTTACAGGGACCACTGGTTTCCAGATCGTCCGAATCGTGGTTCCGGTTACCGTTGCATACGTATCAACGGTAAAATGGATCCGGTTATCGCGCAAGCAGGTGCGAATGTCGGTCTGTTACCGACGGTACTGCACAGTTTGTTCCCGAGCGAGCTGACCATGTGGATCGATCCGTCGGAAGTCTCGTACAGAATCGGAGAGAACGGATCCATTTGTGTTTTGTACGAGCGCACGGAACCGGACCCGGAAGAGTTCCAGCAGCACCAGCACCAACACCAACATCAACACCAACATCCACATCATCAACACCATCAACAACAGCAGCAACAGCAATTCGAAAGTTGTAAAGACTCGTTATTGCTGGAACACTCGCAGTTCAGCGAGCAAATCGCTGCGTTCGTTTCCAGTTGAAGCTTTCTCGTCGATACGAGTTCATCGATGCGACGGCGCTAGCGTCTCGCTTCGTTTCCATTGGACGTGCATCACGCTCTCGGACTGATCAAAGCACACACGTTTTTATTTTTTTTTTCGTGATATATGTGATTGCGATTTTTTTCTGGTCAGGTGAAAGTTTGACTCGTGCATGAACGCGCAAGTGCTACTCTGTTTCGTGTGTCTCGATAGAAGATCCGGCTTTGATCGTTTCCAAGGAAACAGCAGCCGACGAGGCGACCGGAAAAGTGAGAAAGAAAAATGGGCAAACTCCGGTGGAGCTATGTCAGCCCGACAAATTGATCTCAGCCCCCCCTCTCCACCTACGTACTTCCGTTAATCCTGGAAGGAAGCTACCCCTGGGGTGGGGAACAACGAACCAGTCTGACCCCTCCCCTCTGGTCTCGAGAGAGGAAAAAGCAAAACGAGCCTCTCTCTCTCCCCCTCGAGAAGAATTCAACTCCAGCAACGTGTTTTATCGTCACAAAATCTTTTTTCTTCCACGAAGTCTCTTGGTACGTTCTCCCCTCCTACGGCGAAGAGGAATAAAAATCGAGCAACATCCGCGCTGGCATTCTCTCTTCTCGTCAAGGATTTGTTTTCTCCCTAACCTCGCATTATCAATGCAAATTACCACCGAGCCACACGCAACCATCCGACAACATTTTGAACGGTTCGAGAACAAGAGGAAGAAGAATAGAAGAAATAACCACCTATCGATGTATCTTTCACAAAATTCTTTTTGGAGTATTTTTTCATACGACGCTTGCTATTGGTATAATCATGGCCACCCGTTC